TCTTTGCTACGTATTCTTCTCACTGTGTCGACGTGATGTGGTGGCTTAGATTGACGTGTATTTATGCTAAACATTAATCACATAGTTTATGTTAATTATGGGTAGTATACTACACAAAACCAAAAATATGTATCCTTTAATAGTTTTTGATATGTTATGTATCTTTCCTATTTCCAATACTTTAACAATCAAATTTTAATTCTTATCTACATGACACAGAGCTTCGAAACCAGTTACTTTCTAGTACTTGTCTGTTCATTATCATTTCAACAATATGGCCGGGTTAAATCCAATCAGACACAGATGTCAAGTAAGGTATGAGTAGGGAAAACATTTAGTCACTTAGTGTTTTGTAATAATTATTTAAACTTTATCGTTGCGTTACATGAGCAGCTAACTAATAGTGCAAAATTCCTAAATCTTAACAGACCTTATCATTATCCAAATGTGATCATTTCTCATTTTGAGTAGGTTTAGCTGGATGGGAGAAATTGGGGGATAGGTGAAGTGACTAAAGATGTTACGGGTTTGAAGTACTGATCAATTACATCAATAATTGTAACTGGGTACAACCTAAAACCAGAAAATAAAACTCTGTAAACTGGTATTTTATTATCCCCGCCTAAAAACTTCCGTCTGCTTGGGTCGAAGAGTTGATGGGAAAGCTTAAAAGAAAAGAGTTGTCTAAAAACACTTTCGTCTAAGTTTGCTGGCCGATGACCTCTCGCATACATAACAACGTTTCTGTTGTGTTGCAATTCGATATTGTGGAATAACTAGTCTAACCTTTATTGGTCAGTTAGATCTCCCCGTTTATGGATGACCTTTTTCAGGTGTCATAGGGTTCAAAGCACCACTAGTAAGCATACTAATTGTAGCGTACCTGTAGAAGGAGCGTGGCAATGCCTTCACTACTGTGAGGAACTGCACAAGTTGGTCAACCACTCTGTACTTCAGGTTCTAGATAGTATAATGAGGTTTCTATACTGTTGGGTCAGAATGGTATGTGCTGCAAGGTGGGAGTCTTAAGTTTTTAAAAGTTTAGGTATTTATTACGGCATAGTGAGAATAAAGTTTATAAATATCTGAAAACGTTCTGAGAAAATGAAAATAATATCACACTATGTAAAGGTATGTATATTATTTTACAAGGAGTAGACCAACAGTTTATTGCTTGGTATACTAAATCAAATCGGGCTCACCACTAAAGATGTGATTGATATTTAGGGCTAAACAACGCCGTTAGCCGTAACCTAACTAAACCAAAAGTCAGGGATAAGCAAGTTTGAATACATATATTCGTAAAGTAGCCGAAGTAGTCCAAAGATGTGTGAACTAAGCTGATTAGTTGTCCGGAGGTATGTGTTGCATAGCGTACACAGTCGTGATCTGTTACGGATAACTGACCAAACGCATTCAACTAAGTTGTATCCAGTAAAAATAACGAGGTCAGTTTCAATGTCGAAGGCTGAGAGACCTATTTGTTGTGGGAATTTATTTATCGCTACAGGCTCCTGAGAGAAATCTGTCTAGCTTTAGCTAATCAAAAACATGTCATGAGTCATTTCCGATCTGAAATTAAATAAATTACAAAGCATGAGTCCTTTTTTAAATTTCGCAAATGAACTTTCGTAAGTTACATCTTAGTTTCCTGGGAGATCCAAAATTTTCCTCAAACATTGGTGTCTGTTCTCGTTGTGATCATTGAAATTTCAGAAGGAATCAATCGTCAATAGTCAGAGACTCACATTCGTGATTACTCTTACATACTTTTGGGACGATTAAAGCGATCACTTAGGTTCTTCTCATACAGTGCATTACAAGGATCATTATTCGTGAAACTGAGTTTTACTTTGTCTCGAAAATCTTTTTACTATCTTCAGAGACAATCACTGTTAAATGAGTCTATAAATTGTCAATATCTGTCGAAAGAATTCGTAAAAATTTTCTGAATGCCATATATCAGTTCCTAAAACGTCGGAATATATCCGGTAGGAATGAGTAATGATCAATATTGAGCACAGACGGAGATTTATATGTTATATATATACTTCTTTAAACGTTTGTATTTATCATAGTATATTGTGATTATATTGTATATTGGGTTCTTGATCGGTTATCGTATATTTGTATGACAGCTCATCATTTGATTAAGTGTCGTGATTCATCATGATCCATTGATCTAGTACGCGGTCCAGTGTTTGGTCTTATTGATCTAATTATCTAGCGTACTTTGTCTAGCGTAGGATCGTATCAGGTGTTAAAATCACCAACCAGAAACCTGTTTATCTTTCTGAATGGTAAAATTCGCGGTAAAATGCTATATCAATGTAATCCACATATGACAAAAATGACTAATCAAATTTCAGTCTTGAGCAACAATGAGGTAATTTAAAACCTTACTAATAATGAGTTATAAAGATTACCCCAAGGATAAGATTTAAATCGCACTGGTAAAATATCTTAATATACCCAAAGAACAATATCTGATTTTACTACACCAAAGGAAATTTACTTGTTTGATTGAATGCTAAATTTGTCACATAGATGTATTCATATAGTTCGAAGTTAATCTGATATTAGGTAGACACACTAGAAACTAATCATTTACTAAAAGTGCATCTCAACATATTTCATTCTATATGAATATAACATGTTACTAATAAGTGAAGTAGAAAACAAGACAGTCTACTTTGAGCACTGAAAAATAATTCATTTTTGAAATAGTCATGACAACAAAATAAAAATCGATTAGAAGTCCCAAAAACTAAGAGACTATTGAAGAGGTATTTTGTTTTGTTCAAAGGCTCCAACAAAGTAAGTGTCCAAAGCACCGCATACATTACAGAACACAGTACTTTCATTTCTTGCAGCGAGTACTTTATCTTTAGAACGAAAAATCTGCACACAATAACTGATATCTTCAACTTCAGTAATTTAGTTATATAGAGTAAATATTATCCAATGGCCATGATCCGTGCCTATCTCACTCTTGACATGATTGATTCCTAGCTTACAACTCAATAATCTGGATGTTGCGTGATCAACACAAGAGATAAGAGTTCTATGTTCATCTCCATATGGTGTCATAGATATGTACGGTCAAGTAGGCCTAAATTATAGCTAAACAGCTGTTCTGTTCTCCTGATAACTCTAATAGTCTGTAGCTATTCTCACATATTTATTATTTGTCTAATTTAAAGTCACTTTAATTTGAATAATGAAATCAAATTATCGGTACTTAACTGAAAATAGGACATCAGTATCTGAATATAATAACCAGACAACCTTGACTTATTACAATAGTAAATGATATTTTTCATTCAGATATATGAACTAAATAAATATCTTGTTTCCCTATTATATACATTCTATGGTGTATCCAAAATATCATTCACTTTTGCATACACATCACAATATATCTACGTTTCTCTTTTATAAGAACAAGGTTTTTGTATATAATTTCTATGTGAATATGATTCATTCATTTATATTTCCACTTAATAGAATCATTGAACAATTTATCTAATTGTCTTTTTGTAATTAAGGTTTTGACTATTACAGTGAACATAAGATAAACTCGTTTGGTTTTTTAATAATAAGACAAAATTTATTTATATTATACTAACTGTAATGAAATGAAAAAAGACGACCAACAAAGAAGTTGAATTAATTACACTTAAATTCAAATCATAGCGAGATTATGATTTATGAATGAACCAATCAGAAATAAGATAATAGATCTTGGATTTTGGCATACAATTCATTCATCTATTTGGCTAAATAGCGTTTTTACACTTTAGCCCGATGTTAGTTCGTGATGAAAAACCCTAATTGTCAACTGTAAATGTTAATTCTAATTCCTAACACTGCTTTATAATGCTCATTTAGTCTTAGTTAGTAGTTGGTTATATTAACGTTCACTTCAGCTTCGCTCAAAGGTGGTCCATAAATTATAGTCACAATTGATCGATCATTTGGTGGTGATCAATGTCATGTGTGTCAAGTTCTTATTTAGTGCGGATCGAATGCTATCGACCATGTTGCAATGGGGACACCGGTCTAGGTGACTCGACATTGCGGGCACTATATATTAAGATTAGATGGTGGTTGGAGGTAGTCGACAGGAAACCCTGAACCCGGGTTTCGTGCTGCTTGGCACTCGTCAGTAAGGTGTATCTGTAATGTTGAGGGAACTGGTGCTCCCTGGCGTATTCGATCCCGTGTCGCCCAGGTTCACGTTCCAGGGTCCAGGGTTTCCTGTCTACTACCTCCGACCACCATCTAATAAATTATAGTCTCACCTAATTCATAATGTGATAATTATCTTATGATAATTGAACCACACAGATAATAGTCTGCTTTTTTCATTAAAGTGATTGACAAATGATATCACTCTTATGAAAGCTTTCACAATCTAGACTGTTATATAATCGTGTAATCGATAAGTATTTATCTAAACTTGTTAAACGCTCACAATTTAAAACTATGAGATTTTCTTTTTTTGTTCATTGAAATCAATCAAGGAGCTTATTCATCCATCGCACTATTAACATCAAAATCTTCAACTTAAAATAATAATTAATAGACTAGTGTACAAATTTTATTTTCTGAATTTAGTTTTTACAAATAAGTAGTATATTCATGAGAAATAATAATAAAAAATTACATTTATATCTTTAAAATAAACAAACAAATAAGTATGTACATATGTATAATACATATCACAGATTGTCTTGTCTCTACTTTTTTCTTATATCTTAATCTTTCCTGGTTGTTTGATTTCCCTGTAATATTTGTTATTTTATATGTAATGTCAGTAGTATTGATAGTAACATGAGTTTAGGTAGTAGTAGTAGTAGTATTGGAATTATTTATGGAGGTATATTATTATTTGTACCATGGATGAGAATGACCATTTCTCAAATGCACTTATTTCATTCAATGAATTTAGAAAAAGGAAAGTTTTCATTCAAGGCATGAAAATATACAAATAAACAGGAAAACTTAAATACAAATAGAATTTCTGAAAACAAATACAAAACATGTACAAAACAGAAAAGATATAATAATTTGATCTTGTTTTCTTCTCTAAATTATCATTATAATTTTTTGACCTGTAATGTAGTGAAACTCCTGGGTTAATTCATATTAGACGATTACGAAAATGATCATGCTGCTGCTGCTGCTGATGATGATGATGGTGGTGATGGTGATGATATCACTGAGACTTTTGGTTGATTATGCAATGGTAGAGTTAAATTTAATTCCTTCAATAGTTTTGCCGTTTGTTCTCGTACATAATTAATCGGATCGTTATGATTATTGACTGGTATACCGTCTAATAATAATTTTTTAATTTGTTCATTTAGTTTTTCAGCATCGTGAAGCTGTTAAAAAAAAAATCGATATTTTTTTTAAAAAAGAGTTCAAGATGAGACTCTAATTTATGGGCGAGTCAATCAGAGGCGTCTTAGAGATTTCAAGGTTACGGCGCCAACTTCAGTTCTTAATGCTAACGTACGAACGGTTCGCGGGGAATTTTGTACAAAATGTGGTAATTGAGCGGGTATAACAAATAAAACGGCGAGACTATAATTTTTGGACGAATCAAGATGACAGATCTCGGACTTTAACGCGAAAGCCTTTCATTCATTTGGCTAAATAAATTTCTGGCATTATAGCTGATGTCAGTTCGTGATGAAAACCCCATATATAATTCCTAACTAAAGCAAATTATGACAATTATTGCGAAATGGATAATAAAAGCACCAGTAACACTGGCTGCAGCCAGGTACTACAATATATAAGGATGTTTGGAGAGCGTACGGACTCCTACATAGGCTTGGTTCTGTGCATCGTGTCGTTATCCACAAGTAGTATTTGGTGCACTCATCAATCGGTGTGCACATAAACAATATTGAAGCTGTGTGGTCGAGGCTGAAAGAGTATTTGAAACTTTATCATGACTCCAGAGGCCGACTATTTTGTAGCCGTATGGATGATTTTCTCTACTGCATGCACTAAGATTTTAGGACCTCTGAACCTCTTTCTAACCGTGAAAAGTTTTTGAACCACGTATAAGAAGTGTATCCACTTTATTTCATTGGTTTTGTATAACATATTTTTACTCTATACTGACTGTTTGCTGATTGGCTAATATTTCTCAAGATCGTTTAAGATTCGTTCAAAGGTCGCCCATAAATTAGAGTCTCTCCAAGTTCAAATATGAAAAAACAATAGTTAGTGTCTTTTTTTCAAGGAATATGTTTTATACTACTTGATAATAATGAATTTTATAAAACAATAACAAAAATTCAAATTAAGGTTAAATAAACAAATGTGTTGGAAATTATATTGTAACTCATTCCGTCATGTTATTACTTATAAAGAGTTTAAATTATCCCGTTTTTGATACTCAGTACAGAGTTTTACTTAGCCATCATTGATAAATGTAGATCCTGTGGGGGATTGCCTCAATATAGCTCATCCTTGATTTCACTGCTAGTCATCATTAATCTGTTGATCAGTCGTGAATGGCTTAGGTTTTGCTAATAATAAATCTTATGTAATAACAAATTTTTAGCATTATATTATCTAAATCAACTTATGCTGTATTGAACAAGATCTAGTCAATACTAAGATCTGGATTAAACTTTAATAATGAGCTTACAACATGATAGTAGTTCAGAATAGATATTGATAACATACACTGATAATATGATACAGTAGTTCAATAAGCAATATCTAGAATTTAATAACGTAGTCATTGTAAAACTATTTTTTCTCAAGCATCTTCTTGATGGAGTAAATTGATGAACAGATTATTGTTTAATATGCCAATGAAACGTCTGGCGCAAATGACATCTTCTTACATAATGTGTTCTGTTCTTTGAAATTCTTCATAGTTTGCATCACGGACTAACATGGTTTAGATAATGACTGGAGACTAAGAGGCAGTGGACAGATGCTTCATCCTAGAATGAGATTCTTCAGAAGTGCACACCAACGACTCTACCACGATTGAACCTAAAACCTTCAGGTTATCTGACTAGCGCCTAACAATTTGACCATTAACATGTTTCTGGTATGATATTTTCATTTGCACTAATAAGCATCAAGATGATAATCATCAGGTTGTTGGACATTAATGTTTTATCTGTTCTATGTTAGTAACATTAAAATAGACATTCAAAAAGCGTATAAACAGTATAACTAATTAACCGAATTATTAGCTCTTACCTGAGCAATAAATATACATGAACTTAAGCATGGATAAACTTCAAAACAAACCATATCACGACGCAGATAACGTTCATAACAATGACGATGTTCTAAACAACTATATCCTTTAATACGACCACATTTATGTATTTCATAAAAGGCCCATCGTTTAGTTCTATGACGAATTATGCTCCCATCTGCAAGAATTGTTGGATGTAAGTTTACAATATGTAACTGTAGTTTGACAAACAACAACAAACCTAAATTATGTAAGAAAAAAAACAGTTCAAGACATTAATTTTAAAACTGTTAATTTTAACTGCAAGTAAAGCTTGACTTTAACACGTATACGATGATTGAATATAAGTTGTGGGTCCAGAAGGTCATCAGTTTGTGGGTAAATATCGATGTTCATATATCTTTCTGTGATAATTCTTACTGTGAATTATGAAATATATACGAAGTGTATAAAATAATTCTTCTTGTAAACTCTGGGTTTCATTTTAGTCTTCAACCTCTTACGCCAAATAGATAATTCAACTAGCGGATTCCAAATAAATCATCAGTCAAGTTCAATTTATCATCACATGATTATGATCTCACTTACAGTAAAACTAGTACTTTGTTGTCATCACAAGTGGTTACCATTTGGTGTAGGCTGATTATTTTAATGAATATGAATCAACAATCTGTAAACTCAAATCGTTAATGAGCTCCGAAATGTTACTGGAACATTGCAATCCCACGTTGTTAACCATTGTAGCGGCCGATACTTCAAGTTGTGGTGTTGACGCATTCATGTTACCTTCATTAAAGAATAGAAAAGGAAAAGCCACTGTTCATACTTCCCTAACAATAACGCCGATAGCGAAAAAATATAGTCAAATAGGAAAGGAAATCCTAGCATCTGTGTTCGCGTTCTGTTGCTTTCACAAGTTTTCATATGGCTGGAAATTCACACTTTAAATAGAGTAAAGGCTTCTTCTTACAGTTTTTGGTTCAAAGTCCGAATTGCCGACGCACAGAGATTGCCACTGGTTTCAATCTGATATAATTTCGAACTGAAGAATCCTAAAAACCCGATCCACTGACACATCTAGTAACAGCAGCTAGAAGATCGGTAATCATATTATTAGGTCGAAAAGATTGTACAGTAAGTCTTTGGTACACAGTCGTTTGAGCCTTTCCAGTATAAACTGCAGAGATCCAAACCATCACCTGATGTTACAGAAAAGGATTACTTGTAGAAACGTGGTATCAATGAAAACCCAAGTATTCAAAATCGGAGCTTCTCTGTTTGTCTGAGATTATATACCAAACCACGATGGGTGAATGCCATTATGATTTAGGCTGGAATTTTTTTACAGTAAATTATTCAGTGTAAACACTATCTATGAAATTTCAAGACCTTTTTATAATGATTTATATGAATGAAAAATACTCAGTTTAAATTTTTAAGACATTTTTTGTTCGTATATATTTGATAAACTTAATGTATTTTGTTTAGTTTCATACTGAGTCAACACCATAAATCTTCATCAGATAAAATTGGTGTTTTTCCCTAAATTAATGAGATAGGAAAAATAAGGATGGAAGTGGATTTTTTCACAATATTGAAGTAGAAGTTGAGAGTTATTAGCGTTTTGAACGAATGAATAAAATTAGTAGGTTGAAATTATTTCTCAATATGGAATAAATAATCTCAAAATTTAAGTTTGGGAATGCCAGATGTCTGTTTACTGCTAGTAAATTTATTTGTTTATTTGAACACATAAATATTTGTACGAAGGGGTACCGAATATATATGGGTCACACAAGTCACTTGATTTGTGTGTGGGATGTGATACTGCCCGGGTGCTCAGACCAAAGCAGTAAATTAACACCTCAAGGATGATCATTTATAACTTCATAAAGGAATCGGATCAAAGAATTTAAGTTGAGTATCATTAGAATTAATGGATTTAGACTGTGAATGATTACAAATTAAAAATGTCGACTATTTCCAAAGCTGAATTATATCTTAATAGTTCTGATATAACAGTTCTGTCTTCGTCCTCATGTAAGTTCACATATATCTGACCGGATGGTCATCTAATATCTCCTGGTTTCATTTTGTTGGTTTCTTAACTTACGCCACTTTCTACTATTAACTAATTTGAAATTGAACATTATTTATAAATTCCTTATCATTCATTAAAAATGAACTAAGGCATCAGCAACTTTTAAGATTCATTAATAAATAACTAAATATAACTTTTCTTATAAACAATACTTATTATTTATGTTTTGTACTGTCTTTATAAGAATAAAACTCAACCAACGAAATATACTGGCTAAACCCAGTTAATTAATTCATTACAGTACTGGGTCTGAGTTCCAGAGTGAAAATCAACTCTGAGATGTAGGTACATCCAGCTGACGAGTCTCAAATAGGACGAAACGCTCGTCCTGGATTACACTGCTAGACACTTTGCTAATAACAACTAATTAATTATTTAAATAATTGATTGATTAATGTTCCTCGTAATTGAGAAAACAAAAAATCAACGAATAACTAAATATCTTTTTAAAGTTATTGACGATCTTTTCGAAACGTTTATTATATATATATTGATAGTACAACACACATTCAAATAGCCACACAGAAAACAAACATTAATTCATGCTTGCTGACACTATATGGCTTTATCACTACAAAACAAACAAACAAATAAATGATATCAGTTCGAATATCTCGGTCGGTTGGTCAGAGGAATATAATAGAAATATAAATTCACTTGGTATCCATCTTTCCTTAAAAGAAATATAACTACTATTACTAGTAATTAATTAATTGTGAGTAGTGTCATTCTTTATTAAAATTAAATTAAGTTCCCTTAAGTTTTTCTACGTTTAAAATATGGAATAATAATTTTAGTTACAAGTGAATGTAATAAATCAATTCGATCAAACTAATTCACAGAGTTATCCATTTTAAATTTCATTACGAACCAAGTTTCATGAAGTAACTTCATTTATGACGTCATATAGTTTTACAAATATATAACTTTAACTAAAAATGAATAAGAAAGAAAATATTATGCAGTTCAACTTGTAATCAGTAATATGTTTGAAGATAACAGTTCACTATGAACAACGTCGAAAGTTATAAGGAACTGAATAATTATTTCATGTCTATTCATTTCTTCTAAACTAAATGCAAACAAACGATGTTGAAATGGGATTGAATTTGGTATTTTTAAACCTCTTCAGAATTACAATCTCTAATCATAGATTCTCAGGCTAATGGTTCACACTTTCAACTTTAAACAATTTAAGATATGGCACAATCCTTATCCAATTTCATCAGTGTATTATTAACTCTTTTTTCATTTGACTAATATTACAATTCATAGATATTCACATGAACATTGAGAAATCTTTCGTGACTCTACTGAGTAACGAACAAATTATTATTTTATTAAAATTATTGAACCAATTATCATCATGTGTTTTATTGGGTTTTGGTTTGGTTTCCTTTGGTGAAATAAAAAAACAATTTATGAACCATTAAGAATAATTTTTTTTTATTTCGTCCTATGTCCAATCATTTATACAATCATAAATATAGATTAGCAAGGAGTTGTGGATGAACAAAGGAAACATTTGTTTTGGCGTTCATTAATTCATTAAATTAATCACTCTATTAATTTTCATAATTAAGTCTATAAATTGAATAATTAAAATGAATAATAACTAGGTAAATAGGAGTTATTTTTAAACAATAAAAGATTGGACATTTGGAATAATGTTCGAACGTGATTAATTAACTTTTAAAATAAAAATATTATTATATCTTATGTATTAACTAAAAATAGTAGTCATTTTTCGTACTATGTGACAAATTATTTGTAATAATAATGATGATAATTCTATATAAAATGAAAATCATCTCTCTTTGATTGAGATCGATGTTAGACCGTCAAGGAAAACCTGGAAGCACTGGATGAACGTTTCGTCCTAGTATGAGACTTCTTAGCTGTGCACCGATTGGTTCATGATCTCAGTTACACAAATTTGTCAAATTTCGGTGAGTAATTAAGTTTGCGTTTCCGTTGAGGTCATGGTTTCTGATGTTTACAGACGATTGAGATTTTTCAACTCTGATTGGGAACTAATGGGAACTTGATACTGTGACTACTGACATACACAAAAATTATGTCTAAATGATGTAACCCAAGGAGATAACACAAGTTCATAAAAAGCTTGATATTAAATGAAGACAAAACTAAGGTAGAACAACTATATATATATATATATATATATATATATATATATATATATATATATATATATATATAATGACTGACATGACCTTAGAAATAAAAGGTTAATTCATGAGATAAAGGCAGCAAAAACACCAAAGTTTAGGGAAAATGGATTAGAAATGATGTATAAACATATATATGCCTAACTCTACCTATATGATCATTTAAATTACACTGAAAATAGTATGCATAGAATGTGAATAACTGCATGGTCGTACTGATTACACTAAACAGGCTGCTTATTCATGACATTTCAGAATATAATAAATGATCAAAAGGAATGAAAGTACATCGATCTTGTCTAGAAAGTATGAGATGAGAAAGTAATAGTAGAACAAATTTGTGTTAATAAATTAGCTATTAATGACCACAGTTCAGCTAATTGTATTCGATCCCCTCTATTCCAATCGTTTCAGTTCGTCTATGTATACGGTGTTTCATGTGTTGATCTTTCTTTTTAAAAACTAGAACTTTTCCGAACGATTTTCAATCGATCAAATTGGATAATGTGTCCTGTTCCAACTGAATGTAGTTTTATCACTGATCTATTTTGAAGTACTTGTAAACATCATTAAGGCGAATTTAATTAAATTTACAATCATTTTAACCATTCTATTGTTTGTGTTTTCTCACACTCACATTGAACCATCATGATTTCTCACTTAGATCTTAAACTTTATTTTTCACCTGACAAGTCGACCTACACTCATGTTACTTATCTACAACTAAACAAGCAATTTCTTCACTGTTGCTCATACCTCTATTAAGAAAAAACAAAAAACACCCATCATCAACCTACTACTAATTTTAGTATTTACTTATTATTGGCACAAAATAATAAACTGACTTCTATCATTGTTTTATTTATTAACATATTCACACTTGTTTATCTTAATTAACTTGAAGCTTTTGCCCGCCTACACATTGAATATTTAATGATAATAGATTTAAATAAAATTTTATGATTGTTTTTATTCACTGATTCATTCATTTGTTGTTTTTATTGTGTTATTTTTTGGTGTAAATGATGAATATCATTTGTTTTCTAAGAAAAAGATGTGTATCAAAGAGATTTATGACTATTGTATTATTTATTTATTATTTAGTTAGTTAGTTCTATTTAGTGCTTACGTCATATAACAATAACAGTCATATAATAATTAAGGTATATTTCATCGCCCGAATAAACATTTATGTAAATACCTGTGAGTGCATACACAAATGAGCACTGCAATCTAAAGAGAAGAAAAAATTAAATTAATTCCTAACATATGATTAGATTTTTTTTAGTGAGTTAAACAACTAACAAATTTTTCTATTGTTGTGAAATAAAATACAGGGAAAAGGTTGGTTCTAACAATCTTAGTAGTTACTTAAAATATGAAAGTAAATAATTGCTGAATTTTACTGAAATCTAGAACTGATTAAATTTAGATCATTATTAAAACCTGGAAGCACTGGATGGCTGTTTCAATCGTAGTATAAAACACCTCACTAGTGCGCATCCGTGATCCCACACGTAGGACTCAAACGAAGGACCTTTAGTCTCATGCGTGAGTCTTTAATCTTTAGACCATTGAGCCGGCATCTGACAGTGTTAGTGCCTAAATTCAATCAATCTAAGATGTTGTACAATCATCTTCCATTGTTTCCGGTGGATAATTGTCTCATACCCGACATGATTTAATTTCACCAGTCACGGCTTTTCATTAGGATCCTAGAAATTTCCTCTTGAAGCTAGTCATCAGTAAGCGCGTGATAATTGTCAGCGTGAGGTTGTGGAGATTGTTGAATTTCATTGAAATTATGGACCGATATAAGTTAGACCACTATTGAAAACCTGGAAGCACTGAACGGCTGTTTTGTTTTCTTTTCAATTTTTAATAATAAATCTATTTGATCAAAACTTTGTCTAAGATAGTCATTTTCGAAATGTGAGTTATTCTCAAGGCTTGTTCATTGTGTAGTCAATAACTTTGATGCTTCATTTTGTACTCATCACATATATATCAATATCAAAACATTATATTTATGTAATATTTACATAATGAGTATATTGAAGAAATCAGTATTTTAGCAAGAAATCATTATCCAAAAGTACATGATTATCTCTCCAATTTGATTTCGTTTTCAAAATAGTGCAAATGAACTATCTATTAGTAAATAATTAGTACAGATTTAAAAAATATTGAATCTTCAAGAATGTTTATGTCTTCTCGTTGTTGACATTCAGGACCTCAAATGTCGAAGAAACTAGACAAAAACTTTTTTATTTTCATTCAAACGATAAAATAAAACGATTTACAATGAAATTTTAAATAAGAATTCAGAAATGTTTTCATAAAATTATTCTTCATTTACTTTAACTACGTTTGAATTTAGTTAAGCTATTATCAATTCGATACAATTTACACGATTTTTTAACCTTTTCCATTGTGATAACAGTAGGTTAAGTAATGAATGTATGAAATCGAACTAAGAAGTTAAGTACAACTTCAAACGAAACTAGAAGAACAAAATCAATTCGTTTACAAACTAATAATAATTTAACAGAACTGCTTACATTAATTTGTATACAGCTACTATATAGGTAATATCTAATTTTATAATGATAAGCTATTTAAGTGAATGATCTTTACTACTAACGAATTAAAGAGTGTAAGAAAGATTACACGAATGATATTCTCTAACTACTATGTTACTATTTGTATGACTCAATAATAATAAAGTATTTTTAGTTATATATTCAAGTACAAGGTAGTTTGGAATAATCAACAGAGAATTATGAACATAGGTTTCATGGTTGTTGACATTGGTTAGTTATCAGTGTAATCTTTATAATTTTAAGGGGATTGATATTTTTGTACGATTCGAACCTCGGTCAGACAGCTTCAGTCTAACCTGCTTAGGTCCACCTAACATCGAAAAACAGTATGTAAGATATCAAGTGACCTGGTCTAATGGTTACACAACAAAGTGATTAAGAGAAGTTGATTACTACTAAACGATTAGATAAACGTGTTACCCATCACTACTCACTGACCTGTCAATTATCTATATTTAAGTATTGTGATATATTCCATCCCCGTAGATTGAAATAATTAAACATTTATCTGAATTTTATAAGCAAAGATGATTAGTGGCTGGCAGTGGAATCCAAGACGCGCGTTTCGTGTTATTTGAGACACGTCAGCTGTATGTATCTACATCTCAGAGTTGATGTTCACTCTGAGACTTGAATCCATAACCATTCGCTTCAAATGCCATCGCGTTATTCACTTAGCTACTGAGTCCAGTTAACCAATTGCTTGTGCGGTGCTGTGAGAATGTGGCCTTCTGAACTCAGTAGCTAAGTGGATAACACGATGGCATTTGAAGCAAACGGTACTGGGTTAAAGTCTCAGAGTGAACATCAACTCCTACATACAGGTACATCCAGCTGACGAGTCCCAAATAGCACGAAATGTGCGTCCTGGATTCCACTGCTAGCCACTAATCATCTTTGCTTATAAAGCTTGTGACTTAAGACAATATCGAGACAATTCTCACAGTATGCACATATGCCAACAAGAGACTGATCAACTGCAGTCCTATATAACAATAAGAAGATACAAGTAAAACAACACCAAGTGAGCTAATCCGATTATCTGTATATGAATATATTTGTCTGCTCATTGTTCTTTATAAGAGAATACCATTATTTTAATTATTAATACTCATTTGAAGAATAACAAAATTTATTGAATAAAAGAATTTATCATATTTCCTTTATTAGTAACTAGCAGGGTTTGTGTATTTACTTTTTTTAATGAACAAATTCGGTCTGCTAACATTATTTTAATCACGGTTACAATCAATTTTTATCTAGATCATTATTACCATATATATATAATGACATTCAACCAATTTCTCAGGTAATATAAATGGGTTTTTATTTATGAAGAATAGATTACTAATTAAACTACTGCCATACATGTCTCCTTCTAATATTCAACTATCAAGTGTAAATGTTAAATTCATTCATCGTTATTTTCAGTACTTATTAAAATGAAACCATTACATTACTAAATATGAAATAGATTTCATCACAAATCGATTCCCCTATTCATAATATATAACTGAAAATCAATTCCCTTGAGTATAGAACACAGGTATATAAACAGTTACTCTGTACATGGTCAGGGCAATTAAATATACGAAACATGTTGAGTTTATTGATACATTACTAAATATATAAAATTCATCTTAAATGTATACATTTTTCATATATTTATAAACAGTCAATTTACATCATTGCTAAGACTTTAAACTGTGTATAAATATATTTCATAGATTACTATCGCTAACGACTAGCTTAAAGATGGCTTTCTGAGAGTTCTAGTAAGAATCTGTGACCAGTGAAGTCCAATCCCTGTTCGATGTGAAATAGTTATCCACCTCAGACAATAGATGAAAGGTTGTGCAAGATTATGGATTGGTTGAAGCTAAACATTAATACAGTTGGGTGCCGGCTCAGTGATATAAAGGTTAAGTGTTCGTGCACGAGACTGAACGTTCTGAGTTTGGGTCCCAAGTGTGGGATCATGGATGTGCACCAGTGATGAGTCCTGTACTAGGATGAAACAGCTATCCAGTGCTTTCAGGTTTTCACTGATGATTTAGCTTAGATCAATTCATGAATTCAACTATTAAAACTCCTTAGATTACAAATCACCATATACCTGTCAGCATCCATCTTCTTGTACACTTTTGATAAGGTTTGAAAATGTGAATACTATTTGTTTTTCAAAAACAGAATTCTTTGAAAAGAAAAAAAGATGAATAATACACTCAAATGTTTATTATTTTTTTTTAAAAAAAAAAGAAAAACAACAGAGAACACTTGAAGCTACAAACATTTGTTCATAACTTACAGTAAAGTAGAAATTTGATTAGCATTTTCTTAAATATCGTTGTCTGGTTGTTAATTCCAAGAATGTAAATGACAAACTTTTTTTTTCCTTTTAGGGTAACGGACTTTAATCGATATGAATTTTCAGTTTTATTTATTTATTTGTTTATTTATTTACTTATTTCCTTTTTATACTCAAACGATAGTGAGAAATTTCTTATGAATTGTGCAGAATTAAACGCCCACTTGTTTATTTTTAAATAGAATGACCAATCAGATTAATCGGTTCAATGTACAATGAAAGATGAAGAAATGCCAAAATAAAGTAAATATTATGTGCATATATCTACAATTGTGATCTTGATTTAATTTGAAAAAAAGTAGTATAATTTAATATTAATTTGATTTGATTTTTGTTGGTAGATTATTTTATTTATTTATTTATTTTGATTATGTCATCATAGGTTGCGTGGGTGATACTCAATAAATGACAAAAAAAGGATGATTAACTGTAAACATTGGAAAGACATCAATTATGTGTAAATGTTGAGTCAACTAGCACAACTAAATGAAAACAGTTAAGTTGTTGATCGTTTTTGGTGGTTAAAGGAAAGAAGGTAAAACGCTAACATAGTGATTGAATGACTTTTTTTTTACATAGAATCATTTGGACTGATATCATGCATAGAGCAATATTAGACCACCGTTGAAAAACGTGGAAGTAATGGAAGGCCATTTCGTTCTAGTATGGGACTGATCAGGAGTGTGTATCAATTCATGATCTATTTATGATATCAATCTAAACTCAACAATCTCCACAACCCTATACTGATAATTATCATGCGCACACTAGTGACTGGCTTCAAGATGGATTTCTTAGAGTTCTAATGAAAAGCCGTGACTGGTGATGTTCAACCGTCCCTGTTGTGGAGCATTAACTCACTGAAGACGGGCGCACAATATCATGGATTGGTTGAAGTTAAACTTTAAACCGTTGGGTGCCGGCACAGTGATATACAAGTTAAGCGTTCGTGAGCAAGACTGAAGGTCCTGGGTTTGAGTCCTAAGTGAGGGATCATGGATGTGCACTAGTGAGGAGTCCCATACTAGGACGAAATGGTCGTCATTAGTGTAGTACAATGCTCCCAGATTTTCAATGGTGGTCTAAAATTGGTCTATTCATGATATCAATATTAACGCAACAATCTCCACAACCCTATACACACAGAATTATTTGTTTGATGGCTAACTGTATAACCCAGCACGCGCTTTTTTTCTTAGTAATAACTTATCATTTATATTTGCCCGTGTATCAAATTGTTCTTTATACTGATATAATTAACTGGTTGTTCCAATTTAGGTTGACACGAATATCTTTCATCTTATTATTATTCATTATTTAAAAATTTTGTGAATTTGTGGCTGTAAATAGTATCTAAGCACCAGTTGCGAGAGCTCAGATTAATGGAGATCGATCAGGTTTAGTCAACAATACTAATAACTTGAAGTCACTAACTTTTGGATTGACATTTATTTTTACATGGTTTCATTCATTCAGCAACAACCACTACTTAGTTTCACAGAAGAACTTTCAGTCTTCAGACGTTTATGCGTTATGTTAGCGTAAAACAGTTTTTACTACATTATAATTAATTAACAGCTAGTTACGGTAAATCTAGTTATATAAGTGATAATACCTGAATACCTAGTTGTATCGTGCGTCTACACCTCTGTTTATTTAAAATTAATGTAGAGTTCAATAAAACCTTTTAATGGATTACATTTAATGATGAAATGGTCAAAGTATACTTTACTGGTAAACTTCAATGACATTTTAAATGACTTTATGAAAGTAGTGGTAATTTTTAGTCCATCAGAATAGAGGTGAAATGTATGAATACATTGTAAGGCAAAAGCACTAAAAACGTTACTGTTTGAATGACGAACTTTAGTTGAGATTCAGAGTTAAGAGTTTGATTTAGGATTAGGATTTAGGCTTCCGATTGAATTATAGTTAGGATTTTGATTGAAGATTAGCTCTAAGAGTGTTGTTTAGAAGTGAAGGTAGTAAGTGGTGTGGAAAAGAGGTTTATATGCAAACGATGAGCACACATGTCACTAACATTTTTTTCTCTTAACTGCCAAACACTTTTAAGCTCCCTACAAAACTTCATATATCATGTAACCTCATGTTTTATCGATTCAATGTTATTATAACTGAATATTTTTAAATTTTTCACATTTCTGACTTAGTTCTCAATGTCATTTAAGCTATCCTTCATAGCAGTGTGTATTTTCACAAAAATCCAAGAATCATTGAAATAAATCTCATTAGTACTTCAAAAACAGTACACTTTCAACGAAGGAACTATATAATTAATTTTGGGATGATAGAGATTTTCATTGAATCGGTGCTTTTTCTTGATCTACAAACAGGTTAGATGCTGTCGTGAACACACTAAACAGAGTAACTGTTTGTGAATAACTTATATTCCTGATATACCAAGTAGAAAGTAAAGCATTTCGAATAAAATATCATAGAATGTGGTTTTATTGTAAAACATTTCTGTAACATTAAAGAGGAAAAATATATTTAGAAAAGCTTGGATCAGATCGCCAGGTGAAAAGGTTGAATTTTACACATACATTCTTCCTCTTTAATGTCTCACATTAACTCGGCGCCCAAATACTGTGAAACTATTAGGTCAAATTTAGATGAAAGGTCTTATAAATTTCTGCAACAGTTAGAAATGTAATTTACGTATACTATCCAATTGATGTTTGTCATAAATTTGAGATAGTCACTTTCTTTATTGTGAATCATTAAAATTTACTTTTTTAGGTGGATGATTTAAAGATTCGATTTTGGTTTTATCACAAAGTTAAATATAGTAAACAGTTAAATATCTTTTAAATACCGACAAGAGAGGTTATTAACAAATTTAAAATCTATGCAGTCAGTAACCAGATTTACAAAACTATCGGAATAGAACAATGAAGAAGTAAAAGAAACGAACTTTACTCTGAGATATTTAAAATTATCATTGTTATTGGTTAACTAAATATAGAAACTGTCAGCTTATACTTGAAATTTGGTTTAGTTTCAAGTCAGAGAAGTTAAGCACGTAAATGAAACTGAGTTATGTTAATGAATAGATAAATCTACAATGATATGATGTAACTAGTTCAGTTAATCAGAGTGCATATTTTTATGATATGATCTATCTCACCTTACACTTTTCTGGAGCCTAATTCATCCAATGAGGAGGGTGTAGTAGTAAATAAAACTCACATCAATTGATGAAGAACATGAAGTTATATCAAATTTTAGCTAAGCTTTAATTCTTTGCTTCTGCATAGCCGTATCTGGCCAGACAAAAATATTATGACATATTGTATATTTTGTATCCATTTTAGAATAAATCTAGTTTGATTATTTCAAATAAAAACTAGATTTTTGAAAATAACAAACAATTTCAAGCATGCATGGAAGTGATAAAACAAACCAAGTTAATTTTCAAAAAAATATCACTGATCATTACATTATTAAAATTTATGAATAGTATTTTAGTTTCGTTTGATACGTAATTCAAGAGATCAACTAGATCAATTAGAAAACTTTTTGGCAAAAAGCCTCTAATATATATAGTAGACTTTATTACAATTTATTCATTTAAAGTAGTAGTTATTTGTATTAACCTGTGAGTGTTGAAGTGAGTGCACCACTTATAAATGAATGCATTATTCACAAATTCAAAAAAGTGTTATTAGTTATAGTGAAAACATTTAAAAAAGCTGAAACTTTGAGTATTGCTCTATATAAGATTATTATCATACTGTCCTGACTGTAAGCGTTCATTGAATCTTCAACTATTCAAATAACTAAGCATCCAGTACTCAATTCGAGTAACAAATATTATTTGATTAATGGTGTCCGGTAAATTCATAAAATTTCTAATGAGAAACATAGTTTCATTGTTATTAAATGAAATAAACACCGCATATTATGTTACTTTCAATAGAACCGATGAATTAATTAATTCATAGAGAAATTAAAGAATTCAAATTTATATTAGTTAAAACATTGACTTTCAATCCTTGCTCTATGTATCTATGATCCTATATAAAAATATTATCTATATTGAGATAGTGGAGAAGATTTGTAGCTCAAGTGGATGATTTTGGTGAAGTTTTGTTCTCTGAGCTCCACCAAAATATTATCTATATTAAACATAGTAGATAGTTGTCTGTTCCAGTATTGAACTCAGGATACTAATCAAAGTGGTAATTATTTCTTTATCATATTAACACTACCTTTATTACATTACAGGACTATTTTTTTTAAAAAATAAAAAAACATTCATTCTTTTAGTACATTCGGATCATTTTCAATTCTTTCAAATGTATAATCACATTTTTTAACTGACTGATATTAATCTATACTACTTGTAATTACTACTAATTTATATTCAATTATTTCTTATTAAGAAGTCAGCTAATGCTTAGTTCTATGATCTTTTAATAATCAATAATCTCGAACTCAGTGTATTTCTTTACAACAACAACTTTCGTTTTTTTTTTCTTTGATTCCATTAATTTTGTTTAAATCTTCATTTGAAACAATAATGCATTTTTATGTTTATTATTATTATTGGCTTTATTCAATATTATATTTTGGTAAAATATAGAATTCTCAGCACAGGGTATTTCAACAAGTTTCTTATAAACAAAAAAAAACAGAAACAAAGACAAAAAAAAGTTTTAAAAAAACCCGAAAAACTGTACAAATTTTAAAATTAGAGACATGTTAAGAATGCAGGTTATTGACTAGATTAACTCTAACAACCTGTTCGTCGCAGAGTATATTAGCTAGGTAAGGTATTATAGAAATTTTATACTTTTGCTTGAGTGCTTGGATTTTAATGTAATTACGTCTCGTTCTACCAGAAGATATACGAGGAGAAAGATAAGAGTGAAGGGGATGGTTAGCATCTGATAAAATAACACCTGTCAAGAGTTTGCATGACTTTAGATATCTATCCAGAAC